AAGTACAAGATCTGAGTACTTCTACTTTTACTCAAGTACAAGATCTGAGTACTTCTGCTTTTACTCAAGTACAAGATCAGAGTACTTCTACTTTTACTGAAGAACAAGATCAGAGTACTTCTACTTTATCTCAAGAACAAGATCTGAGTACTTCTACTTTTACTGAAGTACAAGATCTGAGTACTTCTACTTTTACTCAAGTACAAGATCTGAGTACTTTTAGCTTATCTTCTGATAATTAATGTTCTTCGATGGTTGAGCTGTTATTTGTTCTCCAAAGAGAGCTCAATACTTAGATTTATTTACTCTTTAAAGTGTCTTTGAGTTTCTAGAAAAGCGCTCTATAAATAAAATGCATTATTATTATTATTCGTATGGCAGAGACTCACCAGTGAGGGATGGTGAACGGCAGGAAGGAAGAGTGGCGGAAAATCTCCAGGATGAAAGCCTCCAGAAAGGGAAGGTTGGGTCTGTCGGAGAGAAGAGGGGTGCGATCCAGACCCACTTTGTTCTCTGGAAAACAAAAGATCATTCACTTTTAGTTCAGGACGAGAGTTGAGGGTAAAGTCGAGTAACGTTCTTTGAGAGGGGCAAAAGAAGGGAAACTGCCCCGGGATGCTAATGGAGGATATGGTTCATGTTTTGTTTTGTTAACTTTATTATTTACCCTTCTTGTTTCAAGACTCAAGTTTCAAGTCTTTTATTGTCATGTGTACATAGTTAAAGTTTAGATATGACAATGAGAATCTGAGGTCATAGGCTCCTCCCACAGAGCAACACAATAACACAGATACAACAGAATATAGTAGAAATCGTGCAGAATAGTCTACAGTCATTGGAATATTGATACGAGGTGCAGACAGATGAATGTTATGGATGTTCTTTCAAAGGTTCAGGTGTTTAACGGTCTGATGCCCGTGGGATGAAACTGTTTGGGTGTTTGCCTTGGGTCCCTTGAAAGGCGCTATACAAATGTGATCTATTATTATGATGATGATGTACTTACTCAGCTCTTGATACAGCCTCTCCTGTATCTCGGGGTAAGCCACCAGGTACATCACGGACCAGGACAGAGCCGTGGAGATGGTGTCAAAACCTGGAAGAGAAACATCTGTAAGGACACTTTGCAGAGGTGGGAAGTAGTGGAGTACAAATACTTTGTTACTGTACTTAAGTACATTTTTGTGGTATCAGTACTTTACTCCACTACTTATTTTCCTGACCACTTTTTACTTTTACTTCTTACATGTTGAACACAAATACCTGTACTTTCTACTTCTTACATGTTGAACTCAAATACCTGTACTTTCTACTTCTTACATGTTGAACACAAATACCTGTACTTTCTACTTCTCACATGTTGAACACAAATACCTGTACTTTCTACTTCTTACATGTTGAACACAAATACCTGTACTTTCTACTTCTTACATGTTGAACTCAAATACCTGTACTTTCTACTTCTTACATGTTGAACTCAAATACCTGTACTTTCTACTTCTTACATGTTGAACTCAAATACCTGTACTTTCTACTTCTTACATGTTGAACTCAAATACCTGTACTTTCTACTTCTTACATGTTGAACTCAAATACCTGTACTTTCTACTTCTCTCATTTTCCAAACAGGCTGGTTCCTTTAGTCTGAATGTGTGTTTGGTGGCGTGATCATTATTATTTAGAGTCATTGCGTGCCTATTGATTTGAACACGATCCGTGTATCCATCATTTCCTGGTCTTCTCTAAAGAAGAGGGACCAATGGAAACGTTGTCATGTTGCCGTTGTTCAGCATGGAAACATTCATTAGCTAACAATGACATTATTGTTCTATTAATATAAAGGGAGGTCAGGTACTCTTTAAAACAGCTGCTAGTTATGGGTACTTTTTACTGAAGTACATTTAAAAGCCTCTTTACTTTGACTTGAGTAAAGAAGTTTAGTCAGTACTTCTACTTTCACCAGAGTATTTTTAAACACGAGTATCTGTACTTCTACTTGAGGAAAGGATGTGTGTACTTTAACATCTCTGCTATGTTACTTTTATGTCACTTTTTTTGTCAGGGGTTTCTCTAATCATGCCGGGAAAACTCTGGGTCTTTTTTTCGTCTAGCATTCGTCAGGGTCTCGAGGTCGGACCCCTGATGGACGCCTACAATAACGACCCAGCAGGAGGAGACTGGCCCTCAGTGTGAAGCTGTTCCTCGGCTTTTGTTTGAGAGGAAATCTTTCCCCTCCACTTTTCTTTGAGAGCGTCTTAAAGCCCCCGCATACCTTCATCCTGACTCTGTGGCCGAACTCACGCCTGTCAACGCCTCTGATTCACAGACACCGGAGGGACTGTGATTTGGTTCCACCTAAAACCTTTCAAGGACGTTCAGGAGCTGTCTGCTGCTCTGACTCAGTGCTGCTGACAGGAGACCACCACACATGACTGGAAAGAGAAAGAGGGGGACGCTCTGTTGCATTCGTGCATGTTAAGTCTGTGGGGTGCTTCATTCCAGCTGAAAAAAGGATAAGAGTCACATCCCTCTGCGGTTTCTCAGCCACTGTGAGCTGCTCTATCAGTGCTGCAGCAGACCTCTCTGAGTGCAAATCAACTCACAGGGGGTGTCAGTAGGTGTATGCTTGTGTATTGTGTTCGTGCATTCGTGTTTATGTACACAAGCATGTGTTAATGTGTGAATGTTTTTTATTTTGTACGTAGGATTTGATGTGGAACTGCAGGAGTCCACCTTACAAGGACAAGAAAGTATTCCGATCATTTCCTATCGTGATGCTTCGTAATGAATTGTGATTTATGGAATAGTAACGTGTTGTAGCCAGAGATGGGGTCGTTACTAAAAAAAAGCAATATATTACACTACTTCGTTACTCTCTACATAAAGTAACTCGTTCCTTTACTTGCAGGGCCGGCCCACCCCTCCCTACAGGCAGATCACGCAGACTGCGGCGCACAGTGTAAGCGCGCCACAGTTTTGCCTCTGCGAGACTCCACTTGTACCCAATCACAAGTCTTTCTTTTTATTTGCTCTACCAGCCTACCACAACAAGCTAACTACTATTAACTACTAACTACTACTAAGACACTAATTAATGAAACCAGTTCAAGACGCATTATTCTTATTCTTATCATTCTTTATGAGCGCAGTAACGGGAAGGTATCTAATTACTTATTTATTTAGTATTCCATAACTTAGTAACAGAGATGGTCAAACTAAAGTGGTAGAGACACGGCAGAATTCCTACAATGAAGCGGGACATTGAACTGTTCACCCGGGAGAGGGCAATCAAGAAAAGAGAGCGAGCGTTGAGGGAGTTTACAGATGAAAAGACACAGAAAGACAATAATAACAAGTAGGCTATATTTAGGTGTTTTTTTGTAAATAACCGCCGGTATCAAGAGGAAGTAAAGTCCCCTGGTTTGTCCCTTATACCCTAACTGCCATGACACAACTCAAAATCAAGTTTCCAAAATCTGACACTGAGGTGTTCTTAACGCACCGGCAGATGACAGCGCTGACAAAGTGTGTTTCCCGCAGCGAGACCCTACAATACTAATTGTGGGCTCATCATGTTGATTCGGACACAACAGAAAAAAGAAAAACAAACTCTCGCTCTCTCCAGAGCGGCAGGTCAGCCAAACGGGCCGTTGCCCGGGCAACATTAGCCCGTACCTGTGCACGTCCCTACAGCAGTGGAAAAGCTTCTGGACACAGTTTGCACCTCACCGTCACATTCCTGTCTATTCTTCGGACGAACTAAAAATAATGGGCATACCTCCACCCCTCGAAAGTTATCGCTGACTCAGCCATGTTTATGCAGCACTGCACGTGGAGATGTGGACGCGCAGATTACGTAGCCTACATATAAACCTGCGGCGGAAACCCCTCTAGTCTGTCAGTGTGATTAGGACTGATTTTAGCTAAGTAGCTAAGTAACTAAGTAGCTAAGTAACGAAGTAGCGCGTGTCGGGGCAATGTTAGTAACTGTAGTGTGATTACTGAATTATAAAAGTAACGCGTTACACTACTCCGTCACCGTTAAAAGTAATATTATTACAGTAACGCGTTACTGTAATAATACACCCAACTCTGGTTGTAGCGTATTATATCGTAACGTAACGTACTGTATCATAATGTATCGAATCGTACTCTGTTGTATCGTAACGTAACGTACAGTACTGTGTCGTATCATAACGGTACAGATGGTACTGTATCGTATCGGAATGTAGCGTAACGTATCGCAAAATATCTTAACCTATCATATCGCAATGTAATGTATGTAAAGGGTCAATTCACCAAATTTAAAAAACAGGTTTTCTTATAGGGTAGAATATCTAGTCATGGTTTTATTGCAAAAACATTGTTTACCGAATACATCCGACAAACATTTGAATCCGTTTCTTGATTGTCTGACAAAGATTCCAAAACCCAAAGATAATACATCCAGCATGATAGAAAACCCTAAGGAAGTGGACGTGTTTAGCTCTTTACATCCGGACAAAGCTTTTGTAACCTCTATGTGGCCGAAAGCGATACGAGAGGCGAACCTGAATAACCTTTCCTGAAGTGAAAACACAATGTGAAAGGTTCAATCACAAACAGCACCCAAAATCAGCATCCTAAGCAACCGACATTAAAAAAGTGATCAATCTTTAAGAGCAGGTTGTTTCCCGCGGCAGTGTTGACCCCGACCCCCCGACAACCAGAGTGTTTTTAGTTTATAGGCTTCACAAGCCAAATCATGTTCAGGGTCGTCTCAGAGCGCCGGCGTGAGGCCGTAAAATATTGAAAGCCCTGACAGCGAGTTATGAGCCTCGGCTGATGCAAAACATGGAAAGAGAAAAACAGATAAGCTCAAAATTCAATATGAAGTTAATAAAGAGGGTTTTTTATAGACTTTGTGACGGACAGGATGAGAAGCTGCTATCTCTGACTGTGTTCATAGATAACAAAGAGAAAACTAACTGCAACACGACACCTGACACGTGCTTAAAAACTGCTGACAAAAGGTGTTTACACATTCATATTTAGTAATTGTGGGGGAAACTTCTGAAGCAACTGGAAACAGGACTCAGAGACACACGAGGAGAGCTGGAGGTCTGATGGAGTCAGGACTCAGAGAGACGAGGAGAGCTGGAGCTCTGATGGAGTCAGGACTCAGAGAGACACGAGGAGAGCTGGAGCTCTGATGGAGTCAGGACTCAGAGAGACACGAGGAGAGCTGGAGCTCTGATGGAGTCAGGACTCAGAGAGACACGAGGAGAGCTGGAGCTCTGATGGAGTCAGGACTCAGAGACACGAGGAGAGCTGGAGCTGATGGAGTCAGGACTCAGAGAGACACGAGGAGAGCTGGAGCTCTGATGGAGTCAGGACTCAGAGAGACACGAGGAGAGCTGGAGCTCTGATGGAGTCAGGACTCAGAGAGACACGAGGAGAGCTGGAGCTCTGATGGAGTCAGGACTCAGAGACACGAGGAGAGCTGGAGCTCTGATGGAGTCAGGACTCAGAGAGACACGAGGAGAGCTGGAGCTCTGATGGAGTCAGGACTCAGAAGAGCTGGAGCTCTGATGGAGTCAGGACTCAGAGAGACGAGGAGAGCTGGAGGTCTGATGGAGTCAGGACTCAGGGCACGGGAGAGCCTGTACTTTCTACTTCTCACATGTTGAACTCAAATACCTGTACTTTCTACTCCTCACATGTTGAACTCAAATACCTGTACTTTCTACTTCTTACATGTTGAACACAAATACCTGTACTTTCTACTTCTCTCATTTTCCAAACAGGCTGGTTCCTTTAGTCTGAATGTGTGTTTGGTGGCGTGATCATTATTNTCTTTCTCATATATTCATTGTACACATTTTTCAATTTGTATTGTTTCTTTTGTATATCTACATTTGGTGTAAATACCTTGTTAATGCTAAAAACGATTTAGCATTAACAAGGTATTTACACCAAATGTAGATATACAAAAGAAACAATACAAATTGAAAAATGTGTACAATGAATATATGAGAAAGAATGACGAACTGAAATCTGCAGAGTGGTAGAAGTACTCAGATCTTGTACTTGAGTAAAAGTAGAAGTACTCAGATCTTGTACTTCAGTAAAAGTAGAAGTACTCTGATCTTGTACTTCAGTAAAAGTAGAAGTAC